ACTGGGAGTGGCTGTCAACCGCACGCTGGCCCACCGCCTGGAGCGCCTGGTGTACTTCACGGGCACGCGGGGCCGCAAAGTGCCCCACGGCATGACAGTGGTCACACACAGTGACGAGCGGCCCATCTGGAACATGTACCAGACCATCAGGTACCTTCTGGACCACTACGTGAACGACTTCGACTGGTTCTTCCTGGTGCAGGATGATACCTACACGGAGGCACACCGCATCAACCACCTAGTTGCCCACCTCAGCATTGACACCCACCTATACCTTGGCCGTCCCGAGGAGTTCATCGGTGGAGACACTGAGGGGCACTACTGCTATGGGGGGTTTGGCTACCTGCTGTCCCGCAGCCTCCTCCTGCTTCTGCAGCAACACCTGGAGAACTGCCGCAATGACATCCTCAGCGCCCGGCCCGATGAGTGGCTGGGGCGCACGCTGCATCATCGACTACACAGCTGTCAACTGTGCTGAGGAGCATGAGGTAGGTCCTGCGGTGGAGGTGGCCTCTGAGAGTCTGATCCTGATCCAGTGTGTTTGCCCACCTTCCTGTGGGCTCTCAGGTCCTGGATGGACCAGCCCTTGCACCCTGTTGTCCTTTGAGCCTGCTGTGCTGACAGCTGGTGGGGAGGGAGCATAGGTCGGGGCTGGCCATGACCTGTCTCTCCTGCCTGATGCAGGGCCTGCGTTACCACTATTTTGAGCTGGGAAAGAACGCGGACCCCGAGCGAGAGACCGACCTCCGTTTCCAGAATGCCTTCACTGTCCACCCCGTGCTGGATCCCATCCAGATGTACCGACTACACAAGTACTTTGCGCAGGTGGAGCTTGAGAGGACCTACCAGGAGATCCAGCAGCTGCAGGTGAGACCTGGCTTGGCTGGGAGAGTCTGCACTCCTCCTGTCATCCCTGTGGGCTTTCTGGTCGGTCTGTGTCACCTATCCTCTTGAATATGAGGGTTTGTCAGCTGAACTTGCTGTAGGATGGGATCAGCTGAGCCCCTGTGGCTGCAGGGGCACCAGTACAGGCTGGAGAGCAGCTTTGGATTTGGGTGGGTCCAGGAGCTGAGGTGGTGGTTCAGTCTGATGGAGCCAGCAGGGTGCTGAGGTCTGCCAGCAAAGGCTGTGCAGGATGGGAGAGGGTGCAGCTCCTGCTGATGGTGACATGCTGTATTCAGGGTGCGGTTCAGGAGAAAGCTGGGGTGCTGGGCAGGAGCCAGGCTGAAGGCAGAGTCATTCTGGCCCTGCTCTTGGGGCAAGGAGTAGGTGATCTCTGAGGATCAGGAGTCAGTTTGCCTGCAGCCAGAGCTGGAAGACCTACTTGTCCCCACATTGGCTCTCACTCCTCCATCTCTCCTCTTGCAGCTGGAGATCCAGAATGCCAGCAGCCTCTCTGCTGATGGGGACCACGGTGCCACGTGGCCTGTTGGCATCCCACCCCCTTTCCAGCCCAAAACCCGCTTCGAGGTGCTGCGCTGGGACTACTTCACAGAGGAGCAGGTCTATGCCTGCGTGGACGGCTCCCCCAAGTGCGAGCTGCGTGGTGCAGATCTGGCTGATGTGGCCGACGTGGTGGCCCAGGCTATGGAAGAGCTGAACCCGA